AACTGAATTAAACTGAGGACAAAGATGGAAGATGGAAGGAGGAAATAGAAACTGGGGCATTTTAAAAGTGGCTGAAAAGGTGGGAGAATAAAGTATTAATCAGGACTGTCCCTGCCAAATTGCTAGAGTTGGAGGTTATGATGTGGGGGCAAAATGCAGCCCAAGGGCCACATCCAGCTCCCAGCACTTTTTTTTTTTTTTTTTTTTACTTTAAAAGGCCCCTTGAACTCTCCAGGATTGTTCTGTGGGAGAACTCATGTTGATGGCAGCAACAGATATCCATTTGGTTGCCAGCATCAGAATTTTGTACTTCTTAAGCTTAAGTACACTTTTAGCCACTTCTGGTTTTGAACCAATCCCTAGCCTAAATCAGATTGGGGTGGTATAGAAGACAGAATTTCCTTCCCACCCTCTAGAGGGCATGAGCTAAGTCTCAAAAGATATTTTTGGTTTGGGATGTTGACAGTATATGCGGAAGGTGCAGAAGGCATGTTTTGAGGTCTAGAGGGCATGTTCAGCCTCCAAACTTTGGAAATTGCCCACTCTTCGCTAAACAAAGCTGATATGACTGTGATCTTTTCCTCCAGATGTGCACAAGACTCCACCTACAGAAGTCTGTATTCACCAAGCAACAATGTAGTTCGCTTCACATTCAACTCGTTTAAGTTTCTTAACCAATACAATGAAGTTTATTTGCAATGCAAGCTGGTAGTATGCATGGCAAATGACTATGCTTCCCGATGCTACCAGGGATGTTTAAGCAGAAAAAAGAGGACTGTAGATGAAGATAATAACAAACTGAATGTTGTTTTGGGACCATTCAAGCTTCAGGGAAATGCTAATGAAGATAAAAGACAGGGTAACTTTTCTATATGATTAATACCCTTCTTGCTATAGCAATAATTCTAAAATACATTTTCTGAAGTAATTTCACAGAACCAAATGTTTGGCACAATAAAATGTTGAATATGGTCATTTTAATCTTATAGGGCATCACTTTACTATTGTTTATATATGCTGGTATTTCTTTTATTCCTATTTTTACCAGCTGAAAGCATAGATGTCCATCACAAATTGGAAACATTCCCTTAACGATGTTGTTCATACAGTATATTTACTTAAAATGGCATAATATATGTGGGAAAGGCCTTTCCAGATTAATTCTTCCCGGCCTTAACCTGCACTGTTCCTTACGTGGCTCCATCTTGGATGGACAGGAATACTGCTACGGGCCATAGTGGAGTGTCTATTGCGTCGTTTAATTTTAATTGTTATATTGTTTTTTAAGCTGTTGTGATTTAATACTGTTTTAAGGGGGGAGGGATTGTTGTGGGGTTTGTATTTGATTTTAATTTGTAAGCCGCTTGGATTGGTTTTCCAATAGGCAGGGTATTAAATAAATTTTATTATTATTATTAATGTTATTATTATTATTATTATTAAAACTATTCCAAAATTTTTAGCACAAAGTAGAAGCAGAAATGAATCCAGTTTAATTGGCTTATTTGTTTTGGATTCAGTGAAAGGAATCATGGACATTATAGCTTTAATATATTGCATATAGTAAGGAGAAAGGGTTGGAAATCTATTTGTAAGAATCCGCATTATGTCTTTTGGAAGAAGGCACAACAATAACTCTATTTATTATATTGGACTTTTGTATCCATAATTCTACAAAATATTGCTTTTTCTTAGACAGTCACTTATATGGTTTGAATTATTATCCTACTGAGCTACTTTTTGCACATTAAAACCCTTAAATTTTAAGCTCAGTTTTATGCATGTTCATTACTTTTTGGCTCGTAAATATGTAAGGTATTTCATTTGAAAGCAGAACTCATCTGATATAGATAGTCATACTATGAATCATCATGTTGCCTTCCCATCAGATGCTAAACGTGTAAAACTTGACGTTAACCTAAGGTTTTGAATGGATTCTTTAACAATACCTATAGGCATATATTTAGTTTCTATAACAAATTATTTCAATCTGTGTTTCTCATTTACAGAACTGGTTAAGAGTGTGAATCTCAGGAAGGATGAAGTTGTCAATCCACTTACTGTTGCTACTGTATTTTTGGCAGCTATGGTCTTTGTTCTGTCTGGCTTACTTCTAAACAGTAAACTGAGAAGAAAAAATTATCACCAAATTTACTGATGTCAACACACATTAATGTCAGCATCCTGTTCATTAAGTACTTTCTTTGCAGAATTCAAAAATACACCTGTAATATTTCTGAAAGTTGTATTTTTCCAGTAAGTCCTTGAAAATCCACCACATCAACAAGATGTAACTATTTATAATGAAGGTTAAAGCATCAACCACACCTAGTTAAATCAAAGTACTGGAATTTAAAGAATTATTTTGATTTGGAGGGGAAAAAAACACTATTGGTAGCATCATGGATGGGGAAATTGTGACCTTCAGAATGTTCTTGCACTGCAATTTCAGTCATCTCTCATAATTGGCCATGACGGATAGGGCTGATAGGAATTACTGTCCTAAAACATCTGGAGGGCCTCAAATTGTTTGCTCCCAAAGTTATGGCAAACAAATTTGGCTGAATGGTATTATAGAATGACCTTCATTTCTCTTTAAATATTTTTGTTAATATTCTCTCCATGTTGGATTAAAGTTCTATATGTGATGCATTTATTGCCATCATAATTCTACATCCAAAAGTTATATGTGATAATTACATATATTAGAGATACAGAGAGAGTTACAGTACTATATTTCATGAAGTTTTCACAGAACTCACTTTGCAACATAAAAATGAGGAAAGGAGGGGGAGGGGAAAAAGAAAATGTGGTAGCATCTTTAACACTAACTGGTTTTTATTTTAGCATTTTGTGATTATAAACCCACTTCTTCAGATGGAGTACAGAAGGATATCCAGGCCTCAGGTCAGATATGAAGCATATTTGCACAGCTGAGGCATCTTTCTGAATCCACTCCCACAACTGTATAAATATATATACTGTATAAATATGTTTTATATTCTGAGATCTGGATTATCGCTCTGTAATGCGTCAGAAGAAGTGGGTTTATATCCATGAAAACTCCTGCTAAAATAAAAACCAATTAGGCCTTAAGGTGTTGCTACATTCCTTTCCCCCTCTTGCACCCTTCCTTCTTTTTTACATTTCATAAAGGATTGTCAAGACCCTTTCATTAATATGTGGTATCAGAAAGATAAATTGTAATATGTGGCATTAGAAAGGTTTATTGAAATCTTTGAAAATTAAAAATAAGTACTTAGCAATATATAACCAAATGTATTTTGCCCATTTTGATTGCCAAGTTTATCTTTGGTACACTTTAATTAGTATACAATTATTTGCCACAAATGTAAACAGTGGTTTACCCTATAGCCTGATTTGTCATTCAGTTCAGTATAAGAACTTCATTTTAAGACACTTGAGTACTATTCAGATGAGTAGGGTAAATATTAATAAAAATGCTAGGATTTTTTTTTTATTGGATACTTAACAAAGGATCTTACAGACCAGTTCTCTGTTATTATGCCATCACCACTTTCATTCTAAAGCAGAATACTTGTTTTAACTCCCTATGTATTGGCAGGAATTTCATATTATTCTTATCTCTCTTTTTGTGACTTTCCCCCCGTCAAATGGAATTCTGTCATCTGAAGGAAATTCAGTATATAATGTATTCCTGTATTAGCATACTTTTGATAAGGAACATTTTGTTTGCTGAAGGCCAAGGAGCATGAAAGTGTTTGTTGAAGGTAAATGGACACCAAACTACCATCATTGTAGTTATGAAACTAATGAGAATGAAACAACAATTTCAAGCACCTGCTAAGGGCATCATGAGCAATAAAACCAAATATACTGTTTAAGAATTTTATGTTGTAGATAGGAAAATATATGCTTTGCTACCAAACTAATGTCAAGTTATGTAAATCTGTGTTTTTGCTTCCAATTAGTTTGCAATAAAATTGCTACATCTTTGCAAGTTAATAATATGTGGAGATCGTCATTGACTCATAAATACTCAAAGTGTATTTGATTAGCAAAAAAGAATTTAAAAGATTCCCATGATATGCCCACTCCTCCTCTTCATATTGCTCTACTTTCCAACAGAGGTGCAATAGAATCAGGGCTCATAGGATTGAAACCTTGTGACTTCTCTTGATGTTAGCAGCCACTGATTATCAGTGCAGTCTATGAATTTGCCAGGCACTTGTCAGCATTATCAAAGGGCCCCATATTTACCATACTTTTATTGATACAGGCACAAAAATTGTGACAGAATGGGTCTATGTCTTATCAATTGGATTTAAATATCATCATCTGAGAACCAGTGTGGTATAGTGGTCTGAGTGACAAAGTAGGACTCTGAAAGACCAGGATTTGAATCCCTGCTCTGCATGGTGACAATCTTCCAACCTCAGAGAAGGATGCTAAATGGCAAATCCCCTCTGACCAATCTTGACAAAACAACAACAACCTTGGGGGTACCATAAGTTGGAGACAATCTGAAGGCCCACAACAAATCACCATCTAACTATGTCTTTTTTTAGATTCATTAAAGATGTCATCTTGTATTATATGTTAATTTTCATAGTCTTTACTAAAAACAAACAAAACTCAGAGCCTTCCACATTGTACTTCTCCAGATGAGATAACAAAAGTGTGATTATTTATTTATTTATTTATTTATTTATTTATTTTTGGTGCTTCAGCCCCCCAATTGTCTGAGGGACAGCAACCCAGCCCCTGGCTCAAAAAGGCTGCCTACCCCTGTCATAGACAGATGCTAAATTATTACATCAGCCTCTGAGATTTTTGGTGGAACTCAGCACATGATGCAATCACTTTCTTTCTGGCTACAGAGACATAGCCAGATGTTTATGTGATTCCCATCACTCCACTCTCCTCCAGGCATGAATGGCAATCAGCAGGGGCTTCAGTGGCTCTACAGTAAGTTCAGGGGGTGATGATAAATGGCTCAGTGTAATTAATTCCAGAGGGTCTGAATGGTTTAGTGATTTGAGTGCTGGACTACAACTTTGGTGGTTAGGGTTCAATTCATTATTTGGCCATAAAAACCCACTGGGTGACCTTGGGTGAGTTACACACACTTAACCCCAGAAGACCCCATTATAGGTTTGCCTTAGGACTGTCAGAAATTTAAGGCACACAACATCATCAACAACAACATAATCCCACATACAGAATTAGTACACTGTGCTGAGCCATGCAGGATTGCAGCCAATATACCCAGTTACTCTGAAAGTCAAGATTATAATCCTTCCAATTTTTCTGAGATATGTTAAGACAGGTGGATATTAGTTTCTCTCTCTCTTAACCAAACTATCTATACCACTTGGAAAAGTTGTGTGAAAAAGGTGGAGTGGGGTGGGGATGAAGAGAGATTATTTGGTGACACTACACTATTGTAGCCCTTAATTTAATTTTGTTGCCAGTTTAGCAAATTTGTGAGTTTGAACATTTTTACAATTTTATTTGAAGAATGTTGTTCTTGTTAGCTTTATTGATACCTACCTTTACTGATACCGTACCCTACCTCATTGGGACTCAATGAGGCTTACAAATTAAAATTAGATACATACAAAAAAACAACATTAAAAAGGAATTGAATTTTGGGGCAAATAATATGAGAAACTGAATGGCTCCCAATTGGTAAAGGAATCAGGCAAGGTTGCATCCTTTCACCCTATCTGTTCAACATCTTTGCAGAAAATATCATACAAAGAGCAGGCTTGGACATAGAAGAAGGAGAAGTGAATATAGGAGAAAGAAATATCAATAATCTGAGATATGCAGATGACACCATACTACCAGCAGGCCTAGAACAACTACTAAAAAAGATCAAAGAAGAAAGTGAAAAGGCAGGCTTACTGCTCAATATAACAAAAACAAAAATAATGACCATGGAAGATCTACACAGATTCAACCTAGACAAGGAGGAACTTGAAATAGTAAAAGAGTTCCTGTACCGTGGGTCAAACAATGATCAGAATGGGGACTACAGTAAAAAAATAAAAAGAAGGACTAGGAATGGAGATGACAGCTATGAAAGAATTAGAAAAGAAACCCAAAGAAAAAGATATACCGCTGAGCATGAAAGTTAGTATTGTACAAGCCATTGTTTTCTCTATTATCATGTATGGTTGCAACAGCTGGACAGTGAGGAAAGCAGAGAGGAGGAAAATCAATTTTTTTTTAGATGTAGTGCTGGAGAAGAGTGCTGAGGATACCATGGACAACCAAAAAACAAACAAATAGGTCCTAGAACAGATCAAGCTGTAACCAATATGATGAAGCTAAGGTTGTCCTACTTTTGTCATGTCATGAGAAACATGACATTGGAAAAGACAATAATGCTAGGAAAGGTGGAGGGAAGTAAAAAGAAAGAAAGACCGCATGCTAGATAGATGGACTCCATTAAGGAGCTCACAGGTATGAATTTACAGGATGAGATCAGTGGAAGATAAAGCAGAGCAGTGGAAGATAAAGATTCTTGGAAATGTCTGATCCACAGGGTCGCCATGAGTCAGGATTGACTCAAGGTTGATTAACAACAACAAAATAAAAATAAAAATCCAGACAATGAACACAGAGACTCAGGGGGGATGCAGATGGGAAGCCCTGGGCCATCCTGGGAAATGGAGGATCAAGGCCAAGGCTGCCGGATTTATTGACCCCAGTTCTCCCGTTTGCCATCTCAGAAAGGAGCGCCAAAATGATGTTCCTTTTAGAGGCGGCAAATAGGCTGCCCCAAGAGCTGCTGTGTGGCTCTTCTGCATGCCTTCTGGCACATTGTGCCAAGACGCTGCGCTGGGAGGACGTTCTGATGGCGAGCACCATGCGTAATGGCTGTCCCTCCCCTTCCCTACCTCCAAGATGGTTCAAAGGGCCATCTGTAAAAGCCCTTAGTTATCTTTATTCAAGTGAGTCCTGTGCACCTTGTCACATATGTACACAGAAAGAACAATCCATACACTCTCTTGCTCATTCCTTTTCAATAGAAAGGGGAGCTATTCTGCTTCTTAACATGGAAAAGACATAAATATTTCAACATTTGCCACATGATATCCCCCCCTCCCCATGGAAAGTCTTCCAAAAATTTATGGCCTTGGTGGTGGGCCTTATATTAATTTAGAACAATTGAAACTAAATGTTACAGTAAGGCCTCTTTGCTGTACTGTGGATTCAGCACATAATATCTAAAGCTTCTCAACATTTTCATTTGTTTACCCAGTCGCACTGTTGTCTATTTTTGACTTGCCCTTGTTAGTTCTCACATAGGAATTGTGACAGAACGTTGATTCTGATTACATGGTGATGAGGGAGGTGATACAGAATCTTTCCTTCCTCTTTCCCATCCATTCATCTATTCAACTTTCTCAGATAAAAAAGGACTTTAGATTAGATCAAGAACCATCCAGTCTTAACACGTTAATTTCAATAGCAGCCATTCAGAAGTCTCTGAGAAGCTGAATAGATAAGTACATTAAATAGGTAGCTAGACAGCATCCCTCCTTCCCCAGTATCCATAGCCAGCAAAATATAACCTGATTTACATAGCTTCTGAAGTACCTAGTTTAGAGTTCAGTAGACAAGGTAGCACTCCAACTGCTTGTCCAGCCTGGACCTCAGCACCCAGAGTGTCATATCTCAAAAGGCGTGGATCTACCATAATAAAAGATATGAGGGAATGGGGATAATTGATAACCCTGAATATTTCAGAATGGCTGGATAAGATAATGGATTTGGTGGAACTTGCATTGACCCACTTTGTTAAAGGCAATGATATAAATCAGGGGTAGGCAACCTGTCCCCTTTAAGGGCCGAGAGACTTCAGCTCCCAGAATCCCAGGAGCTATTGGCCAATATGGGATTATTGGCCAACATGGCTGAGGCTTCTGGGAGCTTAAAGGGGAAAGGTTGCCTACCACTGATATAAATGAATTGTTGAGTATCTGGAAACCTTTTATGGATTATAGGGGAAAAAATGAAAGCGGCTATAGTGATATTAGGATTCAATATGTAAGCATTATTTACTTATATTTGATTTTTTTATTGTTTCCTTTGTAGAATGGATAGGTTGCAATATTTTGAGGAGTGATGAGATGACAGAAATATTCAACTGCAATTTATATAATTTATATAATTTGGAAGTTCAATAATTTAATGTTTATATAAACTATATGTTTAGTATAGATGGTGGGTGGGGTTGTAGTATTGTAGGTTTTTTTGAGGTTTTATTTTTATTTGTGTTTGTTTTGTTTTTCTTCTTTTTTCGTTTCTTTGTTTCTTTTTATGTTAACTAATATTGTAATTGTCAAATAGGTGTTTTGTTAATGCACTAATTAAAATTATTATTCAAAAAAGACAGTGAGAAGAGCAATTGCTGCAATGAGCAACTGCTGGCTACTGGAGCCAAGGTTTAGTTTGGCTTGGCTTTTCCTTTTCCCTCCTCCCCTCTTCCAGTTCAAGCAACTTATGGCAGGAATATAGCCTTCATGAAGCAAAAGATGAAAAGGGGGATCTCTACACCTTTTTTGGTAGAGCTTGCCTTGCTGCTAATCTCTGCCCCATTTTATAACTCCACAGAACCAGCAAAAAAAAAAAAAAAAAAAAAAAAAAGCACAAGTATGTCCAGCAAGAGTGCTTCCACCATCTCCCATTTTCCTTTCCCTCATCTTCCCACCCCTTTGGGCTTCAGTCTTTGGGCTACAGTGATACCATTTGTTAACAGAGAGAAAATGAAAGAATGAGAGAATCTCAATATAAACAGGTAAAGCTAGAAAGGGAGGAAACAAGAAATAGTGAAAGAAGGAGGGGATTCTATGGAGATTATCGCATCGCAATTTGCCCGCAGGATAGATGCAGGATTTAAAAGTCAAAGGAAGATTTTATCTCACTGCTCTGTAGCTGGGCAGTATGCAATCTGTATGCAATCTGTACTTTGTTGGGCTTCGCAAACAGTTTTTCAAACACGGGATTTTCCCATTCTTGAAAAACTGCACGAGAAGCTTGGAGAAGTGTGCAGAGTTTATCCCTTTACATTAAATAACACACTTCCACTAAAAAAAAATATCTACAAATGTTGGTGTCAGAGCAAACCAACAGCATGGTACATCTAATGGAACTCTTTTAACATAACTTAGGGCCTCGGCAGACGACTAATAAAATCATCTCCAAGGCAGGGAAGAGGAGGGGCAGCCGCACGATCGGCGCCC